TTCTTTTTGGATCCCTGATTCTAAGAGGGCGTGTATAATTAATCATGCCCAATTAACTTTTAGTAAATTTAACCTCAACTAAAAGACCTACACCGGGTTAATAGGTTCGAGGTACAATAAGTAAACAAAAGAGATCCTTTATGAAATGAGATCGTCCCAGGTATCGTTGATAATTATTTTGCGTTGAATAACAATGAAAAATGCACAAACAGGTGTGTAAGATGATAAACAGTTTCAGTACTTAGAATCTATACTTCAAGACCATCATGTATTATTTGTGAAGTTGATACGGAATATTTATCAACAAGGTCTTAATATCTTCCGATGAACTATTTCAGAAAAATGACGGGACGTTCTTTGACATAACCCTGGTTCATCAACTTTCTGCTCCGACACTGGTGACATTTTATTAAGTATGGGTATCAGCAGCAAGCTCTTGAATACCGAAAAAGTTGGGAAATGTATATCCCATATGCAAGTGAATAACACACCAACATTGAGCACATGCACTATTTTCAATAAAAAAAGGAATTTCAGTTTATACAAGAGAGAAAAGATACAAAGGCAGCAAACACAAGTTGTCTCATTTGGTAATTATACAACATCTCCTTATTTTGATATGAATCAGCGATAATACAACAGCCAATAAGTTAAGATGGATCCTTGCAGTAAGCGACTATGTGGATATATGGACAATATTTATAAAATATGTATGTTTATTTGAAATACTCATTCGTTTATGTTTTGAAAAGGATTTTGGTTACCCAATATGTGTGCTCGTTAAATCAAATACAAGCCAACAATTTATTAGGTGTTTCACATACATGTCTGCAAACACTTAAGCAGAAAAGGCGTTTTAATTATCACATGGTTGCATACTTTATAAAACAAAAGCAATTGTCATACCAGTGAGAGGTTTAGCTAGCTATACAACGAGATGTATCTACAATTATTGCAGGAAAATATCTGTACCAAGTCAGTAATATGACGGTTGCTTTCCATTCGTTCTATTGGTTGATAACGTTTGATTTTGTTATGTTGTTGTGGACTTCCATCTTTTGAATTTCTTTGATGGTCGGTTTTTTTTTCATATTTTTTATAATAAAAAAGCTAATTACTGAGTTATCTTCCCTTAGCGGGATTCGAACCCATGGTTCTGTGACATCGTAAAACATCGCCTGTACTGTGTCAAGTGCACCAGACCACTCGACCAACTAGGTTATAAAATAAAAGCTTTTGTTAGTCAAGTAAGGCATTTCTTTTTCGGCTTTATCTAGGGTTTTTTCACAGTACATCATGTAGATAAAGGTGACGAGGAAAGGCATTACATGATAAACGAAAGCTATATGTTATATAGCCAAGTTGGTCGAGTGGCTTAGAGCACTGTACACAGTGCAGGCGGTGTTGCATCGATGTCACAGAAGCAAGGTTTTGAATCATGCTGAGGGAAGATATAAATAATTGCGGGCTCTCATTTGCAAATCTCACATTGTTGGGCTAAATTTGAGACGACTTTTATATTATATATAATTATATTGAATAAAAATATCATCCATGTGATATAGGATAAACCTGCTCGTGACAAACACCTTTAAGACTTAAAACTACTGATGATAAAAAGAGATGTTAAACAGTACATTTTCAAAAAAATAAACGTATCAATCTCTGTTGCAGTCTACACGGGAATGCTGACTACTGGTCTGGTGCTACTCATTAAGGACTGAACGTCCATCGGAAGGGATATTTAGTGATTGTAAAATTATCACAGATGTCAGGATGATAATGCGGTCCTCCAGACGCGCAGTTCGTATATATGACACACCAGTGGGTTTAATCAATTTTGTTTTTACGACCAAACAAATGTGTACTTCAAGAACACAAAAAACCCAAAACTCCATAAAGACTAACTAAACCCGGGAACAGAATCTCAATTTCAATTTTTCAACATTATCTAACTAATTTCACAGTAATTTACCGTATCAATCATATTTCTGTTACTAAAGGAATACCAACTACTTACCTTGTTTAATAATATTAAAGACGAAACGTCCACTGGTGAGTGGCATCGACCAAGTAGTTGTTGAAACTCAGATTTATAATTTGGTACGGCAGACGCGTATTTAGTCATCCTTAGAGTCATTAGTGGCACTCGGATCACAACATCCATACGTATTATACATATATGCGGCAAAAAAACAGATTGACTATTTAAATGTTTAGAATTGTGTCCGTTATGCATTCTTTTTCAATTTATTCATGATAATGTCATGATAATATATTCATTGTTATAAAGGGAAAAAAATCCGTTGTAATTGTTCAACAACTTACGGTTATTACAAATGTAAATTGCCGATGATGTTCAAGTCTAACTAAAGGAACAGTAGTTTACCGATGTTTAAAACTAGTTCATCAATTGAGTAGCGATACATTTGAGTAACAACCAAACACTGAGGGAATCACATGAACTCCAAAAGCAGAAAAGAACAAGACCGGTACAGAAATAACTAATGGCGAGTGCCACCAAAATAGTATACACAGAAAGTAAGTATCATCTTTTTGTGGGAAAACATTTTACTTTAATCTACAATCCTTCAATGGGTTCATAAAAAAACAAGACAACACTTAGAAAAAAATCTCTACAAAGAAACATGGATCATAGTTTCATACGCGTTTCTTACAGATATAAAAAAGAAATGTGGACTCAAATTTCTGAAGTGTTTTTATAAATGCAGCTAGGACTGATCAGACATAATAAGCTTTATGTAGACGGTCTGATGGTCAACATTATGAGCCTGGTTACTGTACTAAATGTTTACAATGAACATTATCTCAATCACTATGATTAATATTTACCTATAATCCAAGATATTCCGTTTAAAAGAGAGACGAAATATACCAAAGGTACATTCAAACGCACAAGTCAAAAATAAACTGACAACGCCATGGCTAGAAAAGAAAAAGACCACCAGACAAACAATAGTACACAAAACACAACATAGAAACATTTCAAAACAAAAGTACATCAGTTTTATCTATTCAATTAGATACAACTAACCCATTAATCGACTTTTAGAAATTGCTATAAAAAAGGATATGTATATATATATGTATAAAGTTAAGAAATCCAGATATGGCGTACAAAAACCTTTGCACCTTTTGTTTGCGGTATATCATCTTTTCTGAAAGTTTATTGTTTTCTGTTTAGCATTAAATTTATAGTTAAGATCCATTTATTACATCGGTGATCCGTTTATTTGACAATCGACAATGGCAGTCAGCAGGGTTTGAGAAACTTTGTTTTTCGACCTGTTAGCCATTGCGTTTTGTTAAAATATCCTTTTTCACTTTTTTGGTCTTTTGGAAAATGTTTTTGTGCTGTATTTAGACTCCTCTAACAAGAAATTTGTTTTGCATGCACACTATACAAATTGCGGTTTTTACCCAACGCAATCATAGGTTTGTACGTTGTTTTCAATTTAGACTTGTTTATATTTTTTCGTTTGGGCTTGAATTATATTTGCCGTCGGGTTTATATGATCCGTTCATCCTATTTTGACTCCTCAAAATTCAAGAGTCTATCCTAAATTGAGGTAAATTATAGGGCTTTCTAAATACCGTTTCGATTTCTAACATCACTGGAGAGACATTAATTGTCGAAATCCGGATATGGTGTACAAAAACCTTTAATAATTTACCTTAGCTGTATTTGTCCAAATTCTTCGGATTTTTAAGTCCTAAATATTCTTAAACGTCGTAATTTATTTTGTCTATTTACTCGTTCTATTCAAGGGTCACTGATGAGTCTTTAGTAGACATAACGCGTTTTCATACCTAATTATAAACTTGGAATAAGGTTTTCTTCCTAGACACTTTCTGAAAAGATGGAAACATAAACCAGAACTAAGAGTGTCTCAACTTAAAATCTTGAATAATTTTTCAACATGCATCATAACATTTTTCTAAAAAGCAAACTGTTTGCCTGTACAAAGCCAGGAGCCTGTAGTTAGCGCATGGTTGTCATTGGTTGCTGACTGTTATATCTGTCGTTCATTGTTTTTTTTTTTACTTAAATCAGTTTGTTGTTTTTTTGTTTTTTTTTGGCGTTTAAATTGTTTTACAGTTTGTCATGTTAGATCATTTTAAAGCTAACTATACGTTTTGTTTTTTTTTCCTCTTATTAAAAACCGGGCAGTAACCTATATTTGCTTACATCCACGTTATTAAGACTAGTTATGATATTTGTCATATATCGTAAAACAAAAAAAACTAAAAACAAAATGGTTTTCGTATTTCGTTTTTTAATATCATAAAAAAATATATTACGCCATTCAATTTCTCTTTTCAATTCTGAAAACTTGTAAATAAAAAACTGAACAACATATTGATAACAGAATCACCAGTAAACCAAATTAGTACACGGTAATTAACTACTTGCAGTTATTTTCCATGAACAGTTTTAATCAATTTTTAAAAGATATTCTAAATACTTTATTATTGATTTAATCATAATACTTTTATCTTCTTTAAAAAAAAAACACGTTTTATGTTACAATGTTTATCGCTCGTCAACACTATACATAACCGGAAATAAACATCCGACTCCATACACATTTCTCGAGATTATTCTTCGTTGAATTCTTAAATTCGTGGTTTGCTGTGACCCACAAAACCCACGAAAATTGGTATACCACGAATAAAATGAGTCCAGAGTATATGATATTGTATCAGTCACGTGTAGATTTTACATCCCTCTGATTGATTGTGTTAAGGACAAGATGATATTATATTATATCGATTATCAAAACCAGTATTCATACTTGTCTTACTGCTTATAAAAAACATCTTCACAAGTTAGCTATGTTTATTCCATAGACATTTAAAATCAGTAAAACAAATAAAATAATAAAATGCAAATACTTGTATTGATATTTATACCTTATTTCTACAAGAGAATATGAGAACAAATGCCGGCACTGTAGGTAAAAGTAATAAACGCACTATTCTGTATTATTATATGCTCATTCGCAGATACAGTGCAGAACATTGAACGTATACATCCTCGGATTTCAAATGTTTGGCTTTGAGCGTTCCTGATGAAGGTAAATCCAGAAAAGCGCTTCGGACGCATGAAATTATTAAACGTTGTTTTAAATTTTTTACAGGGGAGGTAATGTTTGCCACTTCATTCTGCACTGAACATCAGTACAGGATCTGTCAAATGGTAACTTTTCCGGTCGGAGCATTTATACAACAAGTAAAACATTGAAGCTGTATGACCACATCAATCTGTAACAGTTTTAGTAAATTCCAGATATTGCATTCCTTTAATGACTACTCTTTTTGCAGCTTTTACGTTCTGTTTGTTTCAATTTCGTCAATGTATGGCGGTATTTGTTCAATAAAAAGGTGGCTAAGAGGGATACACTTTTGTAAATTGCACTTAAAATTGATACCGAGACGTATGCAGCAGGTATACTTCTTAAAGTACACTACATTAAATTATCTGAAAGTGTTATAAACATAATTGTATCTTTTGTATTATTCTTATTTGTGTACGTTCCCTCTTTTGTGTATGTACGAAACCATTTTCTGTAACAAAGAAAAAAATCTCAATTTACAAATTAAAAATCACTAGCTGTTTGATATTACTTTCTACTATAAGTATGCTCACTCTCCTTGGTTGTAATGTTAAAAGCCTTGGTTGTGTTGTTAAAAGCCTTGGTCATTAATGTGGATATTTTCGTTGCTTGAACAGCAAAAATAATAAGTTTAATGTATACATTCTAAAATCAAAAAGCAATGGAATTTATGTTTTAAAATGTCGGTTGTTTAAATATGGGTGTAGGTCTACGGTTATTTTGTATACTTTTGAAAATGAAAAGATTTTTGGGGAATTATGTCGGTTTTTTAAAAACATTGATGTCATAATCGAGGTAAGGTTACATCAATTAAAGCGTATCTGTCTAGTTCTGTGGTACAGATATTATCTGAACTCGACGGGTGCCACATGTGGAGCAGGATTTGCTTACCTTTCCGGAGCACCTGAGATCACCCCCAGTTTTTGGTGGGGTTCGTGTTGCTTAGTCTTTAGTTTTCTATGTTGTGTCATCTGTACTATTATTTGTCTGTTTGTCTTTTTATTTTTGGCCATGACGTTGTCAGTTTGTTTTCGATCTATGAGTTTGACTGTCCCTCTGGTATCTTTCGTCCCTCTCTTATATGACATAACAATGAACCGATTCATGATGGCCTCCGCGTACAACTTTTATAGAATGCTTTTAGCTGTACCACCTGGAACCCCTGGTTGAAAAAAACTTCATTGTAAACAGCGGCATAATAAATTATATTCATTCATCATGTTCATTACGCAACCGCTATTTGAATGTTTGTACATAAAAATGGAATTGAACTGATATCATTTATTTGATCGTAACGTTTCAAAATTTAAGTAAAGAAATGCGGTTTCAACATTATCACCACATTTATTATGAAGTGAGCGGACATCAATGTATATTGGAACATTCATTCAAAGGATTACGATAGTCTCATATAAATAAAATAACAAGCGGCAATCAATGCGTATTTCGACAATAAATGTTTTTCTCGATATTGCACGAGGCAAAAATAATTGAAAATCCGACATTTTTACAAACAAACAAAAAAAAGTCGCCTGTTTTATTTTGTTGATAAATTTACTTACGTACAGTATGTAAAATGTATTTGTTTTCGTATATCAATTTTTATTGTTATGTTTCTCTCTAAATTGAAATACTGCATATGATATGAGGACTACAAGATCTGTCTACTGAAGGTGTTGTTGATGTATGTCTTGCCACCACACATTTTCTAAATTTCTGTTTTTTATTCCGTTTGAACAAAAATTGTAAAGCAAACAAGATTAAAACATGAAATACACTTGCATCGTATGCAAGAGATTGTATATTCAATAAAATTTGACAATAACACAATCAATAATGATGATATTTAAATGTTTACTTGTTTAGCAGGATTTCCGAGCTTATTTTCAAGAATTTTTTCAGTTTTTGTGTCGGATAACATAACAAAAATAAATATTGAAAAACCCACAGCTGTGTTCTTCAGTGTACACACGTAAGTGACACCAATCTCATAACTCTACATGTTCGCGAATTGTACTTAAATAAAGGCAACAGTAGTATACAGGTGTTCAAAAGTCATAAATCGATTTAGAGAAAACAAATCCGTGTTACAAACCAAAACCGAGGGAAACACATTAACTATAAGAGGAAAACAAATGAACAACAGGAACATCGAAGTGCAAGAAAAACAAACGCCAACACACATAGAAACGAACTATTTGATAACAAATGTATATAAAGTTAGTATAGTGTGAACATACAATTGTGTAATAACACGTCCCAAAATGTAACAAACATCCTGTCAAAAATATTATCAAATTTATAATCGTATTATTAATATAGAACCTTTGTATGGTCCAACTTTGTTTTGTGTATAGCGTTATGGTGTACGGTTTGAAATGCATGTTGTATTGTTCATGGGGAATGGTGTGTCGTATGATCGGAATGGTATGGGACAATTGATCGTAAGCTTTTCAACACGAGTTTCTATTCCCATTATTAAAAAACCAACTAAAGACAACAATTTCTGTGAGAGTAGGCATAGAGTAAGTTATGTCAACTGAATCCAAGAAAACCTGTTAGCATTAGATTTCTTGATAATACGATTTCTTATAATCCTTTTTTTTTTTTTCTCTTATTTTCAACAAAAATCGAATCAGTTCTTTATTGCTAAGCGCAGACATTTTATGCGACTGTCATACAAGTGAGAGGTTTAGCTAGCTATAAAACCAGGTTTAATCCACCATTTTCTACATAAGGAAATGCCTGCACCAGGTCAGGAATATGAGAGTTGTTTTCCATTCTTTTGATGTGTTTGAGCTTTTGACTTTGTTCTTTGATAAGGGACTTTCCGTTTTGAATTTTCCTAGGTATTCAGTATTTTTTTTTTTTTTTTTACTTTTTATTTAAATATAAGAATCCTTAGCACTGTCGACAAAAGATGCAAAATACCTGACGCACTTTCTTCATATCAATATCTCTGTAAATCCATACGTATAATGGCTTTCTTTGTTTTTCTAAAATTGTGTATGCATGATCGAAAAGATCAAACAGTCCATCTTTTTTCCAAATTGATTCTGAAATTCTCAGGATTCTAGACCTAAAAGAGAATATTAAGTTTGTATCATTTATCTGCTACAAAGGGTTTGTACGTACGTTCACACACACACACACATACAGAGACACACACACACACATTGTGCCCCCCCCCCCCCCCCCCCCTGGTGTGGGTTGTCGTGGAATCGTGCATTCGTAAAGTACGCGGCATTAAGAAGTTAGAAAAGAAATGTCGACTCGGAGTCACAATAATCGCCAAGTAGAGTGATATGTGTGGATCTTATTCTTGTGAACTAACGAGATAAATTTGAATAATCTAAGTCTAGAAAATATTTGTTTATGGCACTACGAGCCATTGCAGCTTCCTTTTATAGTGTTCAAATTATAATTGTTTACTCTAAAACATTTTGTATGTATCTTTAATACTGAAAAGAGCAATACAGCTTCGACGTGATCACATGCTTTTTACTTTGCCAGTTTTACCCACGTACCAACAGAGGTTCGAACCAGGAACCTCTGGTACAGTAAACCACCGCTTTCTTTACTCAGCTAAATTATCATCCGACTAGCACATTTATTTGATAGCTATCGTTTATCAATTTATTATAAGGTTTCACTTTCACATTTCAAACATCGTGGTTTCATAATGACGATATTCACATAAACCTTTGTAAAACTCATTTAATCTCTTTTATTCTCCTTGATTTTTGTTTAGTCCGAGCACCACAACGTAACCAGTGTAAACGCTGTTCTATCAAAACTGCACCAGCCAATTGTTTTAAAAGAAACCATAGCACTATACGTCACCGTTTTATCAAATGCCATAAAAAATAACACCACTTGAGCAGCTAATAGAGGGCGGGCTTATATATACAATAGGTCAAGTAATGCAACGATACATAACAAGTTGTAAAACATGAAACTGTTAAATGTGTGTTATGTTCCATACCGGTCAGTTCCCCTGGTTGCTTTTTGATGTTGCACACTCCCACAGTGTCCATATTGATGAAATGGTCTTGACAATTTATAGTGAACTCGTCGAATTCTACAAAGTATACACATTTCATAAAAAAATTGAAGCGAAATTATTGTCCTTCTTTGTTATAGTTGAGCCTAATTTAGCAAGTAGTGGTTTAATATTACTTGAAAATTAGCAGAGTAGTAGCTACAACATAGTAAACGAAACCTATAATTTCTCATTGTTAAATAGCAGATTAGTAGCTATAACATAGTAAACAAAACCTGTATATTAAGAAAAACCTACGCTTATGGTATCTATCTATTGATATAAAAAATCCATGGCTAATATAATCTACAGACTTTGCTATGTCATACGTTTAGTATTTCAATGATGGGGGTATTGTTTTTGTTTTAATTAAAAAATAGCAGAACAATAGCTATAACAAAGTAAACGAAACCTGTAAATACTAATTGTAAAATATTTACGTTTTTTTATTTTTTAAAAAGTATTTAAAAAAATTGTAAAAAAGCATCACTTACATACATTAAAAACTGTTGATACGTCTACGTTTTAATCTGTTGATATAAACAATGCATACACTTGACGGGTGCCACATGTGGAGCAGGATCTGCTTACCCTTCCGGAGCACCTGAGATCACCCCCAGTTTTTGGTGGGGTTTGTGTTGCTTAGTCTTTAGTTTTCTATGTTGTGTCATCTGTACTATTATTTGTCTGTTTGTCTTTTTATTTTTGGCCATGACGTTGTCAGTTTGTTTTCGATCTATGAGTTTGACTGTCCCTCTGGTATCTTTCGTCCCTCTTTTGAAAAAATCAGCTTATTGTCCTTGACTTCTTCATCAACTAGAAGTCTAAGGTTGTGGATGCTTTATTTATTCACCTATTCTCACTGTTCCGTCTACAGTAAAAGATCGCCTTTAGAACTAATGTGAAGAGGCAGTTGCACTTTTAAAAATTATACATATCTACTTCACAATATTTTTCCAAATTCTTTACAACATTGCAGCAATAGAAAACCTTTTGATGGATCTACCAATTATACTTATATTCCTCATGCTTCTTCGTAGATACACATTTCTTGTTTGAGGTCAAATGAACAAATATAACTTCTGAGAAACCGCAATTATTCAATACAAAAAAAACAGCGAAGAAAACATCATCAAATTGGCATTCTTTTTTTTTTTTTATGGTCAACATATACATGATATCGATTGAGTTCGGTGGCGTGATATTTCAACTGACAGTCGGTATTGCAAAGTATACACATTGTGCATTCCTACTGACATACTTAATTATTCGAAATGCAAAATTTCTTAATTTCTATATTCATTGTTGCCAAAAATAGAAAGAGAATTCAGTTATGTGGTTGGTAATTGTAACCCAATACACAACGGCACTGTTTGAACATGCCTCGGCGCAAGAAGCGCATTCAACGACACATGGTGCATGCACCATCACATGGTCGTTCAGCGTGGATAGTATATAAAGGGTTCGTAACGCTCATAATTTCTGATGAAAGTAAGTCGTCTACTTTTTTAATCATTTGCTGCGTTTATATGTTGCAAACCTTGTTCAAGCAGATTTTTACTAAATTTTTATTATAACTTCTCAGATCGAAAACTTGGGCTTAAAAACGGCAGCATTATCATTTTGAAATAGATTGGAACGTGTTGACAGAATGAAGAATTATTTGCCGTATCCCTCCTTATATCTTCTGAATTTGAGTGCGATGCGTAGAAAGGCTAGTTCGACATTGGGTCTGCTAGTCAATTAGAAGACATGACGGATATCGTGTGTTGGGCGTGTCTGAGGAACTTGTTGTGTGATTGAAAGGAACTGTACGAATAACTATTTCGATACTGATATCAGAAGTTCAACCAGGATGTAACCAATAGAAAGCAGAAAGAAATTTCAACAGTTATGTGTGTTATACATAAGTTCAGCGGGAGCAAAAGTCAGCACAACATTTGATAGGTGATTTCTTGGTGCACTGGAAGGATTTTCTTTAATAATTGCTTATCATTCTTCTCATTCAAATTCAAATTTATGGCTGAAACAATAATTCCTAGTTTCAAAATAATACGGAAAATTAATGTGAACGATTTCATAATTAATTGAATTAGGGATCATCGAATATATTCGAAACTCAGAAACAGGCGAATCAACACAATCCTATCATGTATTATTGTATTAGAACATCCGCTTATAAGGTTAACATTAAAGAGGTAGTGAGAAAGACATCTGTTCAAAAGAGGTAGTGAGAAAGCCATCTGGTCCAACTGTTTATGATTTTGAGCCAATTACAGATTTAGAGTCACAAAAACCCGCATTGTATACAATTCAGGTTTGGCGACAATTGCCTAATAATCGTTAGCTGTGATAGATTACTGACGCACGGATGTACAATAATCTGTCAATATATTCAGAGTCACCGTTTCAGGGTCCAAACATGTGATAAACGGTTGGTTTCAATTATAAAAAAAATTATTAATGCTCAATAATCAAGATTACAATGCACTAATTGACAATTACAAGTTATCGAAGTTTTTTCAATTGAATTGTTTCATATTTTTTATGTAGGGGCCCTTTATAGCCGACTATACGGTATGGGTTTTCTCATTGTTGAGGCCGTACGACTGGTTTTTAAGGTTAATGAAAATCTCATATTCAGTAGTCCCTTGGAAATTTCATAATTTTAGAATCATAGAGATAAACCGTACGTGAAACTATAATCTTGAGAAACAATTTTAATCGCAACAACCTTGATAACATATATATAATAAACAAGCAATCTAATTGGCCATAGTGGAGTAGAGTCATGTACAAATTGAAGCAGCCATAGCCTGTACAAACGTTAACATTACACATACGTTTTTAATGCCCTCCAAGTCAACCATCTATATTCTGAGCAGACAAACAAGTTAATGTGGTAAGTGTTTAACCATAGATATTTCTCTATATTTAGCACTGCCTCAGTCTTAGTGGTGTGTCTTATTTAGACAAGACCTGTTCACTGCTCTACTCCAGACAATTTCTAACGATAAGGCTGTCTAAACTCGTCTTTCTTTGAACGGTCTAGAGATATGTATAGGTCTTCATTTGTATATGTGTATACAGGACAGTGCCTTCTAATTATTTTTACAAAAACTGGTCGTATTTTGTAAATATTTAACTCCAGATGCACATACGTTCATTATAAAAAGAAAACAATAATCGAATACGACGGCGTTTAACGAAAAAAAATTTAAATACAATGTCATAAGGGAAGACACTTCTATTTCGAAGCCATGACAAGGGAGGTTTAGTGCATTGGAAAAGCTATTGCATATGATATGGTGTAACAATATTTTTATTTCGTTCCGCAGTCTGTAAAGTACACACTGAATTATTCGCTAGGTGTGCTTGTTTTCTCCTTCGTCATATTATTTTTTTCCTGGATTAATAAATGATAAATAGAATGGAAATTCCAATCAATTTTCAATAGTTCCGTTCTCCCTTTCTAAATGTTTGAAATAAAATTGCTTGTACGTTGGATCTTTTGTTGTTTGTATTACATCTTAGACTTTAAAACTATCATGGTCCAAAATAAATGGTACACGCCATACGTAGTAATAATTTCCCGCTCGGGTGTTGAAAGCAATTGGTAAATGTACAGATCAGACTCTTTTTCGAATGTCTTTAGACCGAAATTCTTGAAAACATGTCTCTTGTGAGTTGAAACAATAAGCATTGTATCTTTATACCAATTTGTGATTGTGACCGTAACAATTATGTAGTGTCGATTTCAATGATATTTTAAACAATATTGGTCTCTTTCTCTGAGAGATCAATGTTTGTTTGTGGAACAATCCTTGTAAATAAAGTCAATAAAATGTGAACTTGCACGATCATAAAGTATTTACCATACGATATGAAACAGCATGGCAGGTATAGTGTCCGGGTGAGATCGTGTTGTTTCTAGTTAATCAGTTTAGTTTTTTCGAATGTAAACCAGGTATTAAAGTTGTTTCACTACATTAAGATCAAATCGATTAAGTGATATTTTGTAAGCATAACATTTTTGTATACAAGATCGACCATCTTATTCCAATTGCTATGCAGGTTTTGAACACAAACAATTCGTAATTTCTCTTTGTTGTCTTCAAATGAAACCTCTTACACAGTTCAGGTTTTTTAAGAGTAAAGCAATAGAATGTATGTGTTTTTATAAACTGGACCTTTCAACTGATTTTATTGATTTTTAGTACTGTAATCATGTGAAAGGACAGACACATATATTCACAACAAAGTCACAAACGCACACAACTCTCTTTCTTGACTAAATTTTAAATTATTTGTCAGTTTAAGGCTCATGTCTGTTAAAATACATTTTACCATAATCTGACCGTATTGGGATATAATAGGAATAACTATATACAAATACGTTTATTTAAATGATGAGATATCTCCCAAAATTATCACCGCCAAACACAAAAGGAAAAACATAACCTCAAAATGTCGCAAGCAAGTAATTTAATTCAAATACTGTTGCAATTTCGCAAAAGATTCAGCAAAAAATTACTGAAACAGATGTGGATATCTTCTGTGCATACGAATTTATAGTGAGACAAAAAAAAACAGCATTAAGAGGTGATAACTCTAATTTTGGTAGAACACTTTATAGCGAAACCGGTTTTTTATATTATACATCAAATATCTTAATGACACAAAAACTGGTGGACAGAACAATGAATAATAGAACAAACATTTGAGGTCTTGTCTAACAACTTTAGAATAAAAAACAAAATGACTATCCCCCAAAACTATTTACATCTACAATCCTTGTAACGTAAAAGTAAACACTTTCTTCATTCGGGAATCGTACGTACAGCGTTCGGGAATCGTTCGTATAGAGTTCGGTCATCGACCGTACAACATTCGTATAGCGTTCGTACAACGTTCGGTCAGCGTTCGTACATCATTCGTTCATCGTATGGTAAATGTCATCGTTTAGCGTTATATATATATCGTATGGTACAAGGTATCGTTAAACGTTTTATGTGTCGTATGGTACATGGTA